GTTCTCTACCCTCCAGTGTCCACCTTGGAAATAGATCATCTACTTGTTTTTGCGATGCAGCGAGTCCTGACACAGCCACTCCTTTACGTCCTTCTGGCTGGAGCTTTCAACTTGTACGCGGCTGATGTCATCTACTTGGTCTTCTCTGAAGCATACGACCGCCTAGACCACCGCATTCTCCTTTTACAAGCTTCGATACTATGGAATCGGTGACTCTGAGCTCGATTAGATAGGCAACTTCCTCATTTAACGTCAGCGAGAGGTGACAGGACGCAGCCCAATCTCCGACCTAGTTGAAGTCCAGTGTGATATGCCCCAAGAATCTGTATTGGGTGCACGTTTATTCGTAGTATTTATCAATGAGCTTGCTATTGCACTACAGACGAGATGCTTACAATTTGCAGACGATGTCAAAGCCTGGTATAGCATCAAGATATTTGATGACCACACGGCACCCCCGAATATCAAGTTGGGAACTAACAGTTGCAACTTACTTTTCAGGAAAGTTATCTCGGGGTGATCGTGCAGGATGGTCTGGAGTGTTCGAAACTAGTCGAGAAGGCGTCAAAAATAGTCAATCAGTACCTTGGACTCTTACGATGGACTTTCGTAATGTTAGAGCCGTCTATTTTTCCGCAAATGCTGAACGCCTGTGTGTGGCTTTACGTGGACTACGCGATCCAGGCCTAGGGTCCCTGCCGCGGCGTTGATGCACTTGGAGCTCCCCAATGTAAAGCAACCAAACTCGCTGTAGATTAGTTTCACCTCCCTTACCAGCGCAGACTACAGGCCCTGAGATTGTACAGTGACGGATATCGACGTCAGCGAGGCGACTACAACATGGTTTGATTAATAATGCAGAGCCCTAATCACGCTTGGCACGACCTGTTACAGCTGAGCCGAACTATCAAACTGAGAGTCCACCAGCTCAAGCTTACGATGCACTACAGCCTACTTGATTACTGACAAATGTTTCCTCTCTTATAATCTCCCGAACATGAAACGCTCTTCCAACTCACGTCATCCTTGTCCTTACATTAACGTTTTCAAAAAACGCCTTGATGACACACTTTCCCACTTGCGTTACTTGACATGGTCCATTTCTCGCGGAGGGCGAAATAATCCCAACCAAACAATAAGCTCAACGGTCCTCTCCCCAACGCAGAAATGAGGAAACATGTATCGGTGTCCTTGTGAGTAGCTTGTATGTACCCAAACTGGAGTTACGTAACACATCGCTCCAATGAAACGGTACACATGTGAGCGTAGTCTGTTCAAATATTTACTATTTTTCACGGAGTAAGTGAACTACAACTGCTGTCCATATTACTTTGTGTGTCCACATTCCTTACCATTTCAAACTATCGTAATGTAGCAATGCAGTTAATTCGGTAGATGCGTAACATGACGACTCATTTATCCTTACATTATTTTACTTTTCGATCCAACCATCCTACAGGTCTTGCCTAGCACCTGCTCTTTTACGCGTGGTAGTTTTTGCTCGTTGTTCATCCTCGTCACTCATCGTGGCTAAGCCGTGGATTGAACAAAACTCGCACCACCGCGATAATGGCAAAACTAATCCCAACGAATTTTCCGTCGTTACACCAACAGACTTCCTTCCGAGCAAACGCGTAATGGGTGTCCATTCTAAATCTGGGCCGAATCCTTGCGTTGAAGGGGCCATCGCGATTCATCCTACGCTTTGTGTGCATAAACAGTTCGTCAGGGGTTTGGCTTTACCATGGCAAGCGGTTATCCGGGCAGCTCCGTATGAACAAATCACACCCACTTTGGACCTTTGGGCACCTCCATTTTCTCGCGACTCAATCTGCTCTTTATTTTCTTGACTATTTAAATATTATATATTTGGTCTGGCGATGAATCACCGAAACCAAGCCTGTATGCTAGACCCCGTTTTCATGACAGATACAGGTAGTATTCACCATTTGAATCAAACCAAATACCGAAATTTGTTGTCGCTGGCGGATGTGGATTACTGGTGGTATTAGCACTTTTTAATGTCCAAAACTACATGGGACTTATTGTAACGCGCTACCCATCCACCCTCTTCAAGCCAGTTGCGCGTCATTTTGAGGAATACTGGATTCTGCTGTTATGCTATCTCCTAATGAAGCAATTTCGAGGTTCCTCATTTGCCCAATCGTTGCCACCAATCTTTTTATTCCTGGGGTGGTTGATTTGCCATCTCGAGCAGTAGGACTGCCCTTTATACAACGCAGAAGCACAAAGAACTGGTCTGTTATTGCGCAACTGCACCTTGTTTGTTGTGAGCCTAGCTCACTTAAATTGAATATTTCAAAAGTATCTGATCACTTTATTCCTGTTCGCACATTTTCTGTCATACGTTCACCTTAATATTCACTTCATTTCGATAGCTTTCAGCGCAACCTTTTTGGTCAAGAGTTACAATCCATTGCTTGTTTATTTGGCGGTCGACAACTGTGCTTGATGGTTTGTCGTGTAGGCCATGAATTTTATTTTCGTTTAAGACCACACAAGTTGTTTTGTGACTCAGAGTTTGGAAAATTGCACGTGTGTGTTTCTGCACTAAGGGTGCATGAAGTGCTAAGGGGAAGTAAACTTGATCTGTTCATGACAGATACAAAAGGTAGCGTGAGATAATTTGCGCTCGTTATGGCGGCTCAAATCAACATAGGTGCGCATGTATCCGTACAGAATGTTGGAGGGAACATATTGGCAAATTGAGAGGGCAGAGAATATGCGACCTCTCGGTAGAGCAATGATGTTGCTTCTTCCATCTCTCATTCACCCAATTAACTATCCCAGCATTTTAAGCAGCACGCTGTTGGTGCATAGTTCTAACGTACCCACCTTCGTATAGATCAAATTCCTTGGTGACGTTGATTGGTAAATAGACCTTTACTGTGGTTATTTCACACCAATACATTTGTTCACACCAAATTGGATAATCAACTCCTTTAATTGTGGTATCTGAATTCACCGTCCTAAGCAAGCACATATGCTTACTAGGCTTTCATATTTACCAGAAATTGGATCAGCCACTACTAAATCTGACTTGTACGTTACGGGCGTTTTATCAGTTTTGCGGATTCGGCCTGTTCGGTTCGAACTTTTGTTGGCGCAAAATCACGTGCCATGAGTTTTCTTTTGCCTGAAAATTGTTGTTTCACAACTGATAATGCAACTTAATACGACAATCTAGTCAACGTTCGCCACTGGGATTTACAAAGCCAAATCTATACTTGGCGGTCGATTTGTCTTTCAGTTTATTTTATCTGAAGACATCCATCTGAAAGATGTGTGCGATGCAATTTTACCCTTCTTAACAGTCAGGATTAACTAGCATATTCTTACTGGACATCCCAATAGAAAAATAATGCACCTTATTTTAAACACGCAATCTATATATTTGTTTTGCTCAAATTCGTCCAAACATTTTGATGCTTTTCGTTGAAGCTTTTACACACGATCAGGAGAGTGTTCAGTTAATTTAAGCACAAAGATGGATTTTTGAGGTGTTTTAGGCACAAGCAACTTAGATGAAGGCTGATGCCAGCAGTTGTTTACAATAGTTTTGAACACCTGTTTCCAAAGAGATGATGGGCTGTGCGTATGTGTTTGTTTCAGTTCAGTGTTTACTCGTGGACATTAACAATTGCAACCATTTCTACTCTTTCTATCTAGTGGTACATGTTCCTCTGTCGCGCATACTTATGCTTTGTGAAACAATGGGTCATAAATCTGCAAGTATATTCTTAGTGGATCTACGGGAGATCCTAAAGAGAGCACCTTCAGCCCATAACTAAGCGGAAATAACTGAGCTAAGATACCTTCCGTATATTCATAAAATAACAGGTTGTCTTTCCCAGTTGCCGTTATTTTTTCTTCCTAGCGCTGAGCCAATTTAGTATGCGGAATAAGTTGCGATCCCTATCAGCATATGCGCTTCGGTAGACAAACTGTTTCCAGAATTTATCAACGCTACGTTCTTATTCGAACCCGTGTTGAATTGGATGCAAACAACTGGAAATTAAAAAGTTTTTCTTTTACCATTTGAGTGGCCTTGACCAGATGTTATCTTGTATTCCCTGTAGTAAATGTTTTATTCCGTGCCAAGAGTAGTAGTTCCATGGACATTGCAATGCTTATCCTAGGGTTACCATAATCGAATGCACTTAGATTCTTATAGCTGTCATTACGTCAGGTTGCGAATCTCGCTCGTGCTGTTTGCATCCATTGTCGAAAATTCTTTTAGACGTTTTACTCACCTTCTTTGTCTAACCTCTTGTTGTTTGTAATGTGTTCGTAATTTTTGGCGTGAAATTGTCACCTTGGCACCACGAGTTAGCAAATGTGAACTCAAGATTCATCTCTTCGGTCAGCTCCATTCATCAATAGACAACTCAGTCAAATAAGTGGACAGTTGGTTCTATTTTCGAAGTGGCTGATCTAGTCATTATGCTGAACGTGCGACATCAAAGAATCCAGCTTAGTTTGAGTTCCTTCGATGGTGACTAGCACTGACAGAACACCTTGAATGGCTCAGCAGCAAATTAAGGGATAAATTACTTAGACACCTTCCGTTACTTAGGTAAGCAAAAAACAAAGTCGAGTAACCCTATGAAAATTTCCAGGGAGTTCCACATGCATTTGGAGAATCGACATTCAGAAATTGGCCACCTTTCTGAGGCTCATCGGGGTCGCTAATACAGTTACCACAAGGCTTTACCCGCATACTGTCGTTACCTATGCGGTACACAAGGCCCCTGCTCCACTGTAGCGCCATTCTTTGGTAGCCCGTGAGGGCATTTGAGGGGAAGTGGCCGAAGCACATACGTCACATTGACAAGTTTGTTGTCTTGGTTTGTTGTCAAAAATAGTCGCTTTTGCATTCAAATATCCTCGTACGCGATATCTGTTTGAACAGCTACCGGTCTCTCCGTTAGTATTCGTTGCCACAACAGTGCACTAAATGCTTTTTTCACTCACCGCAGAGTCGCTGGAGGCGAGCACTTTGCAGAAGATACCGCTTAAAGAACTATTGGATTTTTATGACGTAAGATTCATGCGAACCTTTTTAATACATTCTGCTCCTTGTATACTGTTATAGCTTGTTTCGTTTTATCCCCCAAGTGTAAGATAAGAGTCCCGTCTCACTTATCTACTTTCGCAGGATTTGTCTTTTAGTAACCTTGTCACATAATTAACCGGAGGGTAAGGTTAATCTGATGCTGCACATAGAGTAACGTCGGAATGACTAACCGCATAACCTGTCCATTAGTATACATCCTGTCTCTGTCGTTCTCGTTTAACTCACTGCTTATTTCAAATAAGAAGACTGTTTTCTTCCTTATTTACAGTCTCAAGCTTTTTTCAAACATTGCAAACTAATCTTTCCACTCCCCCATGCAGCAGTACATTTCTCCCACCTCGACAAAACGCAGGAAAGTTTCCGTGCACGTGATATCCTCGGAGAAACACGGCTGCAATCTAGCCGGCCTTATGCCGTTAGTTAAGGTATGTTTATTTACGCTCGAAGTATACGCTAACTACTTACTGATGTAAGCAGGCACAAGCTTAGAACGACAATCGTGCTACTCGAAATTGTCAGAAGTGATGGGCTGTGCTTGTCAAACACAGAGAGTTTCTAGTTCTTTTCGCTACTCACTGGCAAAGTGATCACCTCTCCAGTACGCTAGCAAGGCCAGCTGACAATGGGCTAGTTGCATCCACTTAGTTGCTCCGGGTACTTTTTCCGCCCGAGGATTCTCCATCACGCACAATGACCCCGAAACATTGACCGAAGCAACAGTCACCACCGTGCGTTGTTGCCCCGATGGTTAAGCTAGACTTGAGCTGACAAGAACGCGATGTTCGGATACGGATTACATGGGGTTACCATTTGTAGTGAATATAGACAGGCAAGGCTGCTTGTCGTCAGGACTTGACGAAAACAAACAAAGAGAACCTGAAGCAACGTATTATATAGCGTGCGACGTCACGAGTACAGCAGTAGAGGCAGCGATACAACCTGTAGCGGTTAAACTTAAGGAGCGTTCGGTGATGAGGTGACGGAAACACGGAATGGGGATGTGAACTACTTGATCCGAATCCCAAACTGGGCCTATAAACTCACTCGCCGAGCCATCACTCATACCCGTCCGTTCACTCAGTTCACAGTGCTGTTAACGTCTGCCTATTCTACACAGAAATGCACTATTTTGTTTGACTGGATCAAGAGACGAAATAATCAACCAGACTAATTCGTTAGTAATAGAGGTGGTCAAATAATGTATATCGAGGTGATCTGAGGGCCAAATATGCTGTCACCTTTGTCGACTCCTTGATTGAGTAAATCATTTGTCACCTGTGGATAGTCATTTCCAACAATACATACCTGTAATCTTTTGACTCAGCGTAATAGTTGGCCTCGCGCTATCTCGGTCTTGGTTGGCCTCATTGAAAATATGTCGCCGATGTATTAATTGGACCACTGTTTTGATGTTTATGTGACATTAGCAACTTAATAAAACTGTGAGGGATAATTGTTTGAAAGTCTAATGCTTGGGGTATACTACCACTTTGTCGGTTTTTATTTATACAGGTTATATTATGTATAGCACTCATATACTACATTGGAGGTTAGCAGTCTCACTTTTGGTAAACCTAATGCTTGGGAAGTCTGTTTATTTTTCTCAATTATCCGTTCTGTGTCTGGATGGCATTCGTCGCTTCGTCAGCTTCCCACGTGCACGATATTCCTGGTGAACCTGAAGTGCTTAATTACTTGAGTGATTGTTAAAATTAGTACTTATTCTGGTTGTCTCCATTATCCACCAGGTTGTTGGCTGTTTCATAACGTGAACTTTGTTTTGGATGCTCACGCAATCTTTCATCCCTTCATTGATTACACAGGGTGATGTTATCAAGGACCACAACAAATTTAAAGATACTTGCAAACTGAGCGAAGTTGCGCAGCCGTTCATGACATTGAAACCCCGGTACACTGCAGAGACGCTGGGTGCAATGCTTTCCAAGACCACCCCAGTTACTACCTAGATCCTTGTAGAGTGATTGCTGCTCCTTAACAATGTGCCAAACTCGTCTGATTTTTATCAATACTTTACTGTGCACTCTACCACATTCAACCGGCACTTCATTCGTCATCTTTTCATGACGGACGCAATATATTTTTCGGTTTTATTCATCTCCTTTCGTCATGTGTAAAGCACCTTAAGTATGTATTGAATCAGGATTTTCTGACCAGCGTTGTTCCCAGTCAAGGAAGCATGCTTCACGTCTTTAGCTACACTCCGAAACCTTTGTCAAGATGGCCCATGGAAATCCATCATCAGTTGCATCAATTAAAGCACCTGATTTTTGACTACGAACATGATGCGGCCTAAATCCCATCCGGCACCTCGATGTTACTTTATGCGAATACTGGAAATAGTGATTTGGAAGATATCCGCCTCCGTTGCTCCGTTGATATATTGGGCACACACGCAGGATAACATCTTCTATTGCTGCGCATTGTCAACACACTTCGGCTGCGCGATGCGCTCCGGAAATATTTAACTCGTAAAATGGACATCTAGGAATTTTTTGATTGTGACACCTGTTTCTTCTCGACTATCATCTCTGACAGACTGTCCTAATATTTCACCATTGGACACCCGGAGCATAAGAGGTGAACTGTCCGGTGCCCACGAGTGTTGCTCGGTGCATGCACGTGCAGCAGCGGCCTCAACATATGGAAGTCAATCAGATGTACTATCCGGTGCGCCATTATGTGGTCCACTCGAAACTGACGATACGATAGAGTTTAAAGATCCAGTCTTCTTCACGGATCTTCGTACGACATATTCCCTAAACTGACGATGAGCTTGGTAGCCAAATGCTGAACGCGTCCATTTTTGTACCTCGCTACGGGTGATCAGACAAAGGGCACGCGGGCCGCACTCGAGCTTTGGTCATATGACGAAAGAAAAGACGCGAGCGGTCGTCTATTCAGACCAAGTGCAGAAACTGCGTTTATGTGCCCAAAGCTTGTTTATGTTGCCCACGGACTTCAACTCGCAATGTGAGATAACAGCAACAGACAGTCGTTTCGTCTTATCTGCACTCGTCAGTAGTGCGCATCCCTCGGCTCCATCAGGAACCTAACCCATGACCATCATCGGCTTGCTACACTGGCAAGCAGCCAATGTCACTGAGCCCAGAGTGACGCGATGCCTGTCTGTCCTCTTTCCGTACAACTGGTTAGGGTGAGCTTCAGGTCTCCGAGCCACTCGGCACCTTGGATCTGTGTCCGAAACTCCAGCGTTTGCGCTCACCACAGCTGGCTAACGGAAGGTCGCTGTGCTTACACACAACTGCAGTTCAAGTCCGCCACCTATCCAACATGATGTATCATTACGAAGTAATGACAGCGACGCGCTAAGACCTACACGTGCCACTTCGCCTTTTTGAGCTCCCCCATTGACTTTGAGATACTGTTCAGCGGAGATTTTTTAAGACTGACAGGCAAGATATAACCTAGTATTGTTAACCGCTGTACACCGTAGCTACAGGCTGTTTTGTCGTCTTACTTACCGTTTCATTTTTTCGTGCCGCTTCTCGCACGAAGCATGGGAGAGTTTGTCCAGCCGAGCACCGAGTGGCGAACCACTACCAAACCCGCTTCTACAAATACAGTCCCTGCTGACCGGGATAGACAGTTGACCCTTCACAAACGATGTGACCAGCGTGACCTTAACGTGCATTCGGACCATGGAGCCATAGGTCGGAGAAGTTTGTCGACCGGAGATTTTGTGAACAACAGAAATACGGTCAATCGTAGATCAAACAAGCAGGCAACAGAGATCATCTGAGGAATCATTTGCTCGCTTTGTGCCAATACCTATGACAGAACAAACGTGAACTTAAAACTTAGTGGAAAGTGCAGAGTACCGACAAATAGTGTGGTTCTGTGACTATGTTCAGATAGTCCCAGGCTGGAGGTTATTTAGGAAAGAGGAATTCCATATAGAACTTGTGTCACTTAACAGGAAAGCAAAATACTACCAAGTCGTTATTCTTCCTAATGTGAAAGGTCTATTTGGCAGTGATGTATTTTTCCTACAGTGCTTCTTTGGAAGCTAGTTTTCAGTCTACCAGCAAGCACACCGTAATTGTGTTTTAACATTACATTTAACACAAATATGGGCACATCGAAAATTTATTACCCTCGTGTATGTTAGTCTGTCTAGTTTAATTGGAACATAGCTGCGATGAAATCGCAGCAGTTGTACACCACGTGCACCTTCGTCCGCCAACGCGATGTCCATATTTTTAACAACAACAGACCCTGTGCGTAACGATAACTTCAGTGCTAGGGCTAAACATTGGTCAATACAGAGCCCACAGGCATCCAGTTTTCCGCGAAATATTCTGTCCTCAAACCATGACCAGAATGTGTCGACCGTACAAATACCCCTAGTCTGCGCCTTATCGCATGAAGCGCGGTACAAGTTACGGTGCGCAGACGCCGCGCTTGTGTGCGTACTGTATTGTGTGAGATCCGATTGGATCTCCGGACTTCCGTTAGAATTCATCGGGGTTTTCTCAGAACGAGCAATATGTGGCAATTTACGGTGCGTCCATGAAATTCGGTGGACACATCCCGGTCACACGATAGTTGTTTCGATTCTTTGTCGTAATGCACGAACGTCCTTCAAAGATAACACCACCCGAACAGAGTTGCCACTCGAATTTGAAACGCTGGGGACTAATGTGACCTGGCCGCATGGCATGTACACGAGATGCGACTGGAGACGAAAAACGCGTAACCTAGCCCTACTGCACTGAGGCCCAACGAGAAAGAGAGACTGACCAGCAGATGGGTTGTCCCCTACTGGTAGGGTCCTGAAGAAACCACAGTTAATGTCCGTGTGGCTTTGTGCGGTAGCTACTGCAGTATGCTGAGGAAAGCTTGCTGGGTTCACTGTGGCTTGACATCAAAGTTTTGGCTCTGTTGTTGCTTGCAAAGTCTGAGTCGCCGTATGGTGATTGTGTGTTTGAGGTGAGCCCGTCGAAATATGCTCAAGTGGCGAGGAGCTCCGGCAGCTCCGCAACAGACCGTTTTACCAGTCTGGCTTTCACACTTTGGTGGACAAGCACTTGTGCACGCGAACTTCATTGCACTGGTAGGTAGTGACCAGCGGAGGTTAGCGGGCGGAGAGAAGCTACAGTCAAGCCTGCCCAAGTCGACCACTCAATGGACAAACAGAATATGGTCGACATGGATAGGTTCATGCACAGAAACAATACTCATGAAAGAAAACGTTGGAGATGTTTTGACTGGTCGCTATAGACACGTGATCGATTTAGGCAGATGGCTGCCATAGCGGGTTGTATCGAAAAAAGTTTTAATGAATTTTCTTATCTGTGTTATCGCAACCCTATTTTCACGGCATAGTCCTTTATGGCCCCCTTGAATTTTTCTCATCGCAGGACGCCCCAGAAATTTGCTATGGCCCCCAAGGGACCATATGACTTCCGGTGAGAATGGCTAATCTAGGCGACTATAATATTGACTCAGTCTCACGCTATTGCCTCTGCGTTTTACGTTCGGACTGAGTTTCAAAAGCTGACGCATATGTAAATAGGGCCACTCAGTATTTTGTGTATTAATGTGGAGTCTCAATTTACCCGCCCGTATGGTTCACTGGACACTCCGAGTGTCTTCGGTCATTCATGATGGGGAAGGTGATACAAACTCATGACCTTTTTCATCGCTCAACGTTGAAGGTCCTGTCTGTCTTCCTATCTCTAACGTAGCTAGTAGTTTCCCCTTTTTCGTTTCGGCAGTCTTAAAAATGCAATAAAAGCATCCTAATGGCTAAACCCAGCGCAAATGTTACGACTAAGGTGTGAATCAGAGCACAAAACATTATCATCATGATAATGACCAATGACTTGGATCTTGGAAAAGTCGGACCAAGGTTATCAAAAGAACAAAATTGTTGAGCACTGCATTTAATCCCCCACTCAAAAGCGAGGAAGCACCGCTGAATACCGCAAGCGTCAACTTACTTGGAAGCTTGCAGCAGACTAGTCTCCATCGGAATCAAAAATACAATACTGACAGTGGAATACCGTACTATTTGTAAACATTTAGAAACAGCAAGCGTATAGTATCTCAAAAATCTGTGTTTCCGGCACAAGCGTATCAACACCTTCACTTTAATCTAACTTAGCCAACAAGTATGACTTAAAGACACACGTGGAATTAACTATCGTCCCAATGCAATGTGGCTTTTGCAGGACCAGTCAGACGAGAGAATACTCTGAGCCATGGGTGAGCAGCCTGTGTGTTTCACGCATGGATGGCATTGTAAGTGTTTTGATTGTACATCGGGGGGAGCACAACAGTAGGCTGCGCGAATTACAGCGTTTGCATGTGTGTGACCTCTACTCACTTCTAATACTGTGACGTCACTTCTGCAGTGCAAGGTAACGTGAGGCTTCAATAGAATAACAATGTTTGCGCATTAGGGTCCCAATTTCCCTAGAGGGTTCAGGCTGAAATAGTACAGAGTACCGATAACATCAAGTGCGACCGTGTGAAGCGATAATGAAGCGTAAACTAGGTCAACGTGTGAGTGATTGAATCTAGTTGAGCCACATTATAAGTCAAGTGGCTGAGCGGGGCGTAAGTATTACAGGGCGGGGTATTCGGGCTTCGCCTGCAACTTGTTTGTGAAAAAGCTTGTGGTTAGAACAGATTCGTTGCACCAGTTCCTGTTGTGTATCAACTTGTCATCACGTACCACCTACCTAATGTAGTTACGCTAAGCTACAGACACTATTCAATTTCAGCTAATTCATCATCATCACTCCCAATCAGCAGGCTTAGGCTGGTCCAGAAAAGCACCAGACGCCGGCGTTTCGATATTCTGGGTCTCCTCAGTGGTGCGCCTCCCAGCAGACCTCTGCCGGGTTCCGCTATTCAATTTGATGAGTTGATAAGTTGCGTAAACGTGCAGTGTCCGATTACTTGGGTCAACTATTTTCGTGTTCTGCTTCTCAAGTAGGATTTTGGCTCGATGGTACGATTGAATGCCTTTGGATCTGCTACTTTTGCGAATAGTAATGTGAAGATTTTTAACATGTTTCCTAGGCTTTTTCTCGGGTGCACTTAGTCATGAACTTCCAACTAGCATTTTCAACGAATGTGAGCAATGCGTGGTAATGCTAAATAAATTGGATCCTTCTGGGATCTGCATCGGGATATTCAGCGTAGCAAACGCAATCGAACAATAAAGTCACGTGGTCACCTTGACCCAAAGAACAGCACACACATAGCCCATCAACTGTGATCTCACTGGTGAGCACCAGGTCTAACATTCATGGCTTATTCACTGTTCTGAACCTGG